ATATTATGACATTAATAAATACTTCTTCAGTTTCATAACAAATGCGTTATGAAAAAAAAGTTCCTACTATATTTCGTATCTTAAATGAGCTGCTCGTAGGTCCCAGATCGCCGTAAATCGGAGAACTTTGTGTACTGGCGTTTATACACGCGCGTGGTGTCATATATCCAAAAGCCTCGAGGCCAAGCAAACAAGACAAAAATAAATTGCCTATAGAAAATTTAATTACCAACCTCTTGTCGATAATTCTCTCAAAATTCGAATATACACAAAATTGTTAACTCTCGTTACACCCGCTAGTATCATTATGTTGAAATTTAGATCTTCTGAATAATAATAAAAAATTATTTTATAAAAAATTTGTATTATAACAAAAAATAAAAAATGGGAGATATGTTTGTATATAATTATATGAAATATGTTAGATAAAAAAATTTAGTAATGATTAAAATATCCGTACAAAAATAATAAAGTTTACGCAGAAAAATCTTAAAATATTTATGTAAAATATTCATTAAGCAAGATTTAATATTTTGAAGCAAAAAACCTGTTTTAAATAAATGAAAACAAACTTTACACACGTTTTTTCTCTGCGAATAAACAAGTATAATTCCTTGTAATATTGCGATTAATTTGTATCTGACAGATATTTTAACTTTTGTAGATTATGTATAATATAAACATAAAATATATGATGTAATATAAAATATATGAAATATATAAAATATATAATAAAATATGTTTAAAATTTACTGTACTTATTTGAATTGACCGATTACATCTCGCAATTCGTATTCTTTTTTTCGTCTAACTAAATAACTGGCTTATTTTCACGAATAAATTCATCCGAGAGAAAGGAATTTTTTAACATCAAAGTGTTTGAGATATATCTATTATTTATTCGTGTTAACCAAGTTACCGCAGACATCCATTCTGGATGCGTCTGTTTATGTATTGTATATGTGATATTCAAGTTCATGGTTTTAAAATTTCATATCGTATACACGATGCACACAATTTCTGTATTGATATGTATGTAGGGCAATGCATTTTATCCTCTTTACTAGAAATGTTTTTCATTTTCTGCCGTAGATACAGTAATATGTAAAGAAGGCTCTCCATAGGATTTCAAGAAGAAATGTAGCAGTTTCTTTACTTCGATTGATTTCTCCATATCGTATCGTATTTTTTGTATATCGTCGATCTATTTTTAATTTCGCTTCGACATGGCGTCAATCATGGAAATTGTTAATAAAGAACAAAATTAACATAGACTTTATAATTAAATAATTATGTCCTTTTAATGACTTAATTGTCAGACGCTCGCCTTTCTCATTTTTTTCGTTAACAGTTAACTTTTCATTTACTATATAAAAGTATTATAATTCTAATAAAGAAATTTACATTAATATATTCAACATGCATTTCGCTATATAATTCTTATTATTTCCCCGTTTGACGTATGAATTTTATTTGATTTTCTTCGCTCGTGAAATGTGTACGTCAAACTTTACTGTCGCGAGCTTTCATAACCGTTATTTCACGAGCCGACGTGACGGAAGTAAAATCTGAGAAAGTGATGCCTATAGATATTCACCGCAGTTGATATATAACGCGAACGCATCTTCGTATTCGCGGTTACTTAATCTCTTGCCGATCGTAACCTTTTAACTGCTCCCGCGCTCGTTTCGTCTCCGCCCATTTAATTTTGACTTTTACACCATTTGCCCTGCCTTAACGTGAGATTTTTATTCCGCCACGGGCGTAACGCTCGTTCTTCCTCGTCACCTCTCTCCCTCTCCATCTACCGGAACGTAATAAATCCCAGCTATCCCGCACTTTGCTCTCTTACTCAGTACGCAACCCTTGTCTCTTTCTTTCTCTTTCTCTCTCTCTCTCTCTCTCTCTCTCTCTCTTTCTTCAAGCTCCTTATCTACCTTCGTTTGACTTCTATCTCTTTTACACCGCATGCACCTTTGCCGTGATAACTGAGCAGGAACGACGAAACGTAATTAGAAAGAACGCCATTTTTAAATCGTTCCTTTCGTTCCACCCTTAAAAAATGAGCGCGGATGACCGTCCTTAGCTTTTCACTCTCGTCAGGGTATGCATTCAGATTGAGGACCAGACCAGGAATAGGAAAAAGGGAGATGAGATCATCGAAAAAATGGCGTGAGTGAGATGGGAAACGGCCATTTGGAAATTGCAAGAGCTATCAGATACTTCGGTATAGAACGACAGAGGAAACTTTGGCGTAGAGACGAGCTTGTAGCCGGCTATGTACGCTATAACATACATCAGTGATTCTCAATGTGCTGCTTGCATTCTCTAGTAGTAATTTTAATTCTCTAGTCTCTTCGTCAATGGAAAAGATCTTAAAAGCTTTTGAAATCCTTGCATTTAATTTTTAATCAAATTAAACATTAATAAAAAAATTTTAAGCGTTAATAAACTTATTTACCTTTTTCTCTCCGTTAAATTAAAATTTTTTTAAATTAAATATTACTTTATAACGTTAGAAGAATACGTGTGTATATATATGTATATGTGTGCGTTATACACGCACCTGTATGTGTGTCTAAATGAGAAAAAGATTTTTACATCGTCCGTCTAGGTTCGTTAGAAAACGCCAGCGTTTCCCAAATGTTATTTCTACTGCGAATTATGCAAGTTACGCATCTTCTTATTATCGCGCGCTGGTCGTTTTTACAGCATTTTTATCCCGCAATGCGTCATAAAACTTGCACTTTATCGCGCACCGAATTATGCGCCGCCGTGAGAATGCAAAAAGCTTTAAATAAATTTATGCTTCTTGCAATACAGCGAGGTCGAGATATTAAAGTTTGAGAACCTCTACGAGTTATATACCGTCTGTGTCGTACGCATCTTTGGTTGTTATGGTCTTCATGATAGACCCATTGAGCTATATATACCTTAGCCGGAGGGGTAACGACGACAATCAACTCTTGAACCTCTGGCTGTTAAAGACGGGTCGCGAGGAAAGCAAAACTATCGTCTACTACTCTGATTGGCGTTCAATATCAAGTCTGGGTTTATAATTTGTACAGTTACGTGATCGTTAATGTTAGGGTATCAAATTCGACGAACGTCACTTTTGACATGCGTGTTCAGCTATTGGTGTTTTATCGGTTCCAGTTTATTTGCATGATTTGCAGGAAAATCGAGTAGCACTAAACAGGCTGTTGCAAGTAATAATAATTTTAACAGCAATGTTTCGTTTGCGATACGATAGCCACGTAACCACTCGGTGAAAACTAATCCTTCCGATTGCAATTCTACACCGGATTATTTCACGTAATTACGAATTATTGTGATACGTAGTAGCTGTATTTCATGCTATGTTTACTCATGTCCATTCAATCATCTCTCGTTTTCCACCAATAAGAATTTTAATTATTTCTAATATACCAATAATACAAAATGTATAGTTTTTAATAATAATCATAATAACACAAAAAATATATAGACAAATTATTATTCCATTTTTTCTAGCAGAAAATTGTCACAAGCAAATTATTCAATTAAAAGATAATTTTCACAATAAATATAGAATATATAAAAATATCAAATTATCAAATTTACATCAATAACGGTAGTATAAATAAAGAATAATTACCATAATGTAATATAAATGTAATATGTTCATCAATATACAAGGTGTATCAGAGCGATTGTAACAGCAGTTTTTTGAGGAACAAAATAATGAGAGAAATCGATTGGTGTAAAGAAAACTCATAGTTATTTTTGAGAAAAAATATATAATTCTTAATTCTTAATTGCAAATTACATATTTTTTTCTAAAAAAGAACTATGTGTTTTCTTTACACCAATCGATCACTTCCTCTCTTTATTTTGTACATAAAAGCATTAAGGTAATATAATGAATCCAAAAATGAATATCTTGCTAGATATTTTATGATTTAAAACTAAGAAAAAAATAAGAAATGGTAAAATTAAGAAATTATTTCAAGCCTCATATCTCGAAAAGTACTTAAAAAGTACTTAAAAGGTACTTAAAAGTACTTAAGAGAAAAATATTTTATTATAGTGTTTTGGAAAGCTCTCGAGGTAAACTACAAGAATATGCAATAAAAAATGGGGTTTCCATTTAAAAAATTCAAAGTATTTTTTATGTGACCTTGACGGTGCTATTCAAACTGATATGATCATTAAATAGGTTATTTTAAGCCTTATAACTTTTGTATGAAACATTTTTCTCTAAAATGCTTAGGTTCCTCAGAAAACTGTTGTTACGATCGCTCTGATACACCCTGTGTACACATGTAGTATTTGTGTATGTATGCATACACATATACAAATGTACCTCAGAAATTATCCTATGTATTAGTTCCTATATATTAATTCTTGATTCACGATTATATTGAATGAAATCATGATCACATTTGAATGATAATGCGATAATAGATAATACGATAAGTATCGTAGAATTAATTCAATCTCTACAAATAGCGCAGTAATTTACAACAAATTGAAAGATTTAGTTGTACATTAACGATTTAATTGTACATTTCTTGTCTTTTAACGGACAAAAAGATACATATTTAACAAAAAAAATTATATATTAAACTCAATCAACATGCATCAATTGAATCAATTCAATCAACAGCTATTTCGCGATATAAAATCTCGGCTAAAGGATAATTTAAAATGTATGCAACATACAACGCAATTGAATTTTTATCAGACTTCCAACACTTAAAAGATTTTTACGAGCGAGGTCGATTTTCGTGAGTGGTCTTTCGCAGTCTTTGTGGCTCTTTCGAAGCGCGTGCTTAAAATACAGCGCAATAGTTAGTATCCTTAACGGCGAATAAAAAAGGAAATCGCGGAGAAAGAAAGAAGGAAGTGCTTATCCTTTAAAGCGGATGTAGTAGAGGACATTACACGCTCGGGGGATCGGAACAGGGCGCATCCATGTGCTCGCAAAAGCACAGCTCGTCATAAGTGAAAGCACTCACCCTCTTGCCTCAGCAGCATCACGAGCAGCAGCAATATAAAATCCATCGCTCGACGGCGTTCGCGCACTTTCTGGTCCATGGATTCGACTCGTAATTATCACCCAACTGCTTCGGCGATCGACGACGATCTTGCCGACAATTTTCTTCTTCCTGGCGTCAGAGAGAGAGAAATGCCCCGTGATAATAAGAGCGGGAAGAACGAAAGTGTTCGCACAGTGTTGACACGGCGGGTAGCGTTCTTTGAACGCCTCCCACCAGGTTACACCAATTATTGAAAGATTAACTATCTCTTTCTCACCCTCTCTCGTAATTTTCATTTATCGATCTCACTGATGTAATTATTTAAAATCTGCTCATTCCAAAATTACTTTCAATTGCACAATAAATCAATAATTCTTGTTCTTTCTTAATAAAAGTTTTTCATAATTATCAATTAAATATATATATTAATATATATATATGCTTATTTTTTTATTTTAATTTTATAATAATTTTATAACACTTGATAATGTTTGCTTACTTTCTTTGCAAATAGTTAATCTCTCTTATTAAGACAATCATTGCATTTTTCCATTTATATAAAACTCCCAATCGCTCCAGTAGAATTGAATCGTTATCAATGTTATTTCGGAGGCGCGTTCGCGGCACGGTCTATAAGCGAGAAAGAGTCGCGAACAAACACCTACCATAGAGACAATCGCAAAACTGATAGCGAAAGGGAAAGGGAAGAAAGAGGAAAAAGAGGCGCTCGTCAGGCACGCGCGAGGATGCCCATCGCTGGTCTTAATTACCGACGATGTTCTTCGTTATTCCACTGTCAATTAAATTTAATGATTGCCGCAGGTTATTGTGTTTTCATTGTGCGTCCGACCCATGGAAGTACCGTATACGCAGTTAACGGCGACCCCCTTATTACGCATACGTTTACTTACGCATCGAGGCGTGTCTTTCTCTTTGTCCTGAAAACATTTCGATCGGTTGTCGACCGAAATACCCGAGGGAATCCAGTATCGGATCGACATTATCGACATTATCGACACTTTTTTCATCGTTCTAGCGCACTTTTGTCGAAACTGGCCCCGCGCGACGTTTTCCTTTTTGCACCGTCAGTTAGAAATTTTTCGCAATTGAAGGTTCTCCTTCTATTCTCTCTCTCTCTCTCTCTCTCTCTCTCTTTACCTTAAGGTGCTAAAAGCGCTCACTCGGGTCGAGTGCTCTTCATGTTCGAAGCTTTCGGTCGAGAAATTCCGGTAATTCCATGTGGCCCGCCCCTTAACTGCATTTCGTCGTCGCAAGAAGTCGTAAGTCAAAGGGCAACGTCTTTAATTCGCGAGGAAAATGGCACGCTTTTAAATAGTCGACTCATTATAAAGAGCGTAGAGCCGAATTAAGGAGCATAAAAATTGCTACAGCGCATGAATAAAGACTGGGAATTCCAAAAATAGAGACGAATAACCAATCTCGTTCCTTCTTCCTTCTCCCACCCCGAAACGAGCGAGTTAATCCGATTAATAATTACTAGCTGTCAAGAGAGTGAGAAGGCTGTCAAGGCAGTCTCGAATGCGATACGATCCACGTAGTACCCCCGAATGAATTTATAACGAATTTCAGGAATAATCCCGGGGCCGAGCGGACGAGAGAAATCTCGGGCGAGCTCTTGTCTGAATAGCCCGAATCAGTCGAGAATACTCGGCGATTTGACGGGGTTTCCGGTAGCGGTGGTGGACGAGAGGAGGAGAATGGGAGGAGAAGAAAAGAGACGAAACTGCCGTACAACTGCTCCTACCCAGACGCCGGATGTGGATTTTAAATGCAACTTGTTGCCGAGTTTGCGCTGCAAGTCCCAAGCGTCCGGCTTGACAGTCGAGACGCCGGCTGAACACGTTCTTAGGAGGAAGTTGACGGTACGTACGCATGTTTCGCCAATCGATCGTCGTAAAGAGATGTACACAGATGGAGATAGATAGAGGGATAACGCAGAGGTTCCGGTTTACCGATGCACAACGGTCGTTGCTAATGAGCGTAGAGATCAAACAGGATGTTACTGTTTGTCTAACGCGGCTGACCTGATGCCTAACTTTGGAATAGTGATTTGTGTTTATAATTGGGATGTATCTTGCGGGGATTCTGTTTACCGATGATATCGTCCGTTTATCCGAATTGCATGCACAGGATGTATCGGAAACCAGCTGCTTTTCTTAGGTATCTCGCTATTGAATTCGGCATTGTATCAGTATTCAATATCGAGTTAATTTACAGGAATAATATTACATATTTGAATCTACGATTTAGAATCACAGAGCAGACAGAAATTAATAGAAATACAATTTGTTCTCATAAATGTTTCAAATATTCAATTGTACAAACTGCAAAACTGGATCAAATTTCAGTTAAAATATCGTTTTTAAATTTACAGATGAAAACAAGAAAGACACTGAGCGATGCATCCATTTCTTCACAATCTATCGTCAAAGACACATATCAAAAAAACAAGTCAAAGAGAAAAATGACAGGTCTAAATGTGATGGTATAAAATTTACGCGAGATACAGTGGATAGATGGCAAGTTGCGGACAAAGTGAAGCGAAAAATATTGTTTCTTCTCATGGTTCGCATTGTGTAGGATACACACAATTTTTCTCGGAGCCACAAAATAGCCTCACCTTCACCACGTTCGTAAATGATTCCAAGTTTGAGAATTCGAAGGGTCGGCCAAAACTTGCACGAATTGTAGCGCGCTGCATGGTTTATTTATTCGCGGCGAGGCTATTCTCGTTTTCCCACCTAGCTTCCTTTTTCCCTCGCGCCCACGTGTGCGGGTGGCTACCGTGCGAGAACACCTTACACGCAACGCTCGTCCCGATCGTGTATGGCATCGACTACGAGAATCGATTTGTCAGCGGTTATTCCCCTTTAGATACATCCGAATAAAGGGCGGCGTGTCAGCTCGTCCATTCTTGACTTATTCACACCACGATACGTTTGTTGTATCTATATCTTTGCCTTCCCTTCCTCGCGCATTTCCTGAAGAAGTTCCTCCATCGGCGGAATATGAATAAACGATAAAGATTTTTATCGTTCGAGACTGTCCCTTTCACAATCGTGCGATAAAACTTAAAAGAGGGTCCAGTCCTTCTTTTTTAAAGGAAAATATTTCTTTCAACAATATGAAGAATCTTTGCGATGAGATTAGTTATTCTCTCTCCTCTGAATATTTTTTCGTTAATCTTTAACATTGCATCGTTTAATTACGGAAGCTGGTTCGTTCACTTACACTAAAGCAATTTTTAAATAGCAAATTCCCAGTGAAAGAAATATTTTGACACGATTTCACGTCGAACTTTCATGTTAAGAGTCTGTAAGTCCCTTGATAATTTTACTATTTCATAACGTAATATATCGAATGCCACCTTCTTAAATTTTACACACGTCCGATCCTGCCGATTGTTAATTTCACTCGCCTGTGATTTTTGCAATATAGTCGCGATATGGAAATATTTCCCGGTATCACCGTCGTCGATTCAATTGTCGTGTCACTTCGATCTCGCTGCTCTCCATAACTACCATCTGCGCGACACCGTTCTCGTTCTCGAATGCGAAATTCGAATCCCGCCATGCGTACTTTTTCATTGCTCCTTTTTCCCTGGAGCGTTCGCTCTCTGTCGCTCGTGTTCCATCGATATGCATCGGCATACGCTCGATGAAATCGCCCGATCGCTCATATAAAATCGAAGTCGATGCACCCACCAGGCGCGCTTTCCATTTCCGACTTTGTTCTTCTCGTCATAATCAGCCGTCGATTTTACCGATACCGATAACGGATGGCGTTCTTTATTATCCTGCTCGATTTTAGGCGACGATTCGGCTCCATATCGCCCTTTATTCCTTGATTCCAGTTAAGAAGGACTTTCCGCAATTTTGCCGGAAATATGAGGGGCGAATTTCCGTCTCGATAATCAATGTCTCAATCCTGCACAGCATCCGCATTCATCGAGTGGATATCCCTCGTTTGTATTCTTACGACGTAATAAATTTCAATTGGCCTTCGCGCGAAGTGAGCCTTCCGGCCTTCAGATTTTATGAAAACGTTCTTTTTTGCGATATATCAATTCAATGTTTTATTAATTTTATTTCTGAGGACTAATCGCCGTGTAGGAGAATTTAATACTTATGAAAACAGTACTAAACGGAGTAATATTTTCTTATTATATTTAATATGTTTATTATAAAAAATGAATCTTAAAAGCAACAGATTCTTGTTACATTAATAATCATTCAAACTATGTCAACTGAATCCGCGTAGAATAAACGATGAGCTTTAATCAACCAACTTAAGCAAACTGCACGGATCGCTTACTCCTGATTTGCATAATTTTCTAGATAAAGGAGATTTCGCGATGCATGTATAATGATATGATAGACAGGTTAGTCCAAGCTTCCGATCGATTGCGAATTTGTGATATTATATTTCTTTCGAGGGGATTGTATATATCTCAATATCACATATACCGTTGGTTAATTCAAATATATTATAATAATATTAATTCAAACGTATTAGACCAATCTACGTGAATGTATGGGATGTGTACGCGATTCGCATAATTCTGCGCGCGTATCTTATACATCGCTAAAATGCATATATTAACTCGATCGAGATTCCAATGGATCGAGATTTTGCGAAATCGCGTTTATTTCAGATCGCGTCCGTTAATTCGCATCGCTAACCGATTCGAAAATCCCCGATTGCGAGTCTCATCATTTCGCGGAACATAATGAGATATTCCGGTTGCGTATCGTATTATGCACCGACATAATGGACCTGTTATAAACTCGTGCAATATGCAATCGTGCCTCCGATCGGTATTGAAATTTAGCGTGACCGCATTTATATTTTGAACCGCGCGGACGCATTAATTCGCCTTCCTGGGCGATTTGAGGCCGCGTCGGGGTGCGCTGCCGCGGTTTTCAGCCTACCTTCGCGACCCGATCCGGGTTAAGAGCGGCTCGCCGCAATTCCGGGGACAGCATCGAAACTCTTCCGGCCGGCTGGTTTCATCGCGCGACCAAGCGACCGAAAACGCGAATGCGGTTTATATGCCCGTTCGGATCCTGGCGGCGGCGGCAGCGGCCAATGATTGAAATTAAAATTAGAGATAGCGTCGCTCGTTGTCGCCCGCAGCTTGTGTTTTTCCAAACGGTTTTTCCATTCGCGTGCACGTGTTTACCCGTAGGGGTCGACCCGCGCGCGATCGAGGGAGATATATAAAATCAACGCCGGCACTCGACGCGACGCGATTCCGATTCATCCGCACGCCACCGTCCACGAGGGGGAAACGTCATTATTGCGCGCGCGTGCGAATTAATCCGAAGGAACGCGTGAGCTCCGGTTGGAATTAATTTCCATCTTCTCGCTCCGCGTCGAGGCGAACTGCGTCGACGATCCTCGGCGAAACCAAAGGATCCCGAGGGATTAACGTTCCGAGTTTCCAGAGTCAATCGCTCATTTCTCAGTCGCGTCGACGACGTCTCGCGTCGTATATTCTTCCGCACAATAATCTTCGCCGAGAGAAGGAATGGAGAATTGTTCTCCTTCTCTCGTCTCCTCACTTAACACGCGCGACAACTTTGGAAGTGGCGCCGCGGCATGCGCGGACCGTCGTCCGGGTGAAAGTTCGCGTCGCGGATGGCCGATGCGGACTACGAAAGCTCGACCGCGCGACGTTTTACCTCCGTACGGCGGTTCGTAGCACCTGAGCGCTTGCGCATCTCGTGCCTGACAGGTGCAACTGCACGCGCCGAGTCCACGACGATCGCCGACGAACGCCGAGGCGCCAATCAGACGTTGAACGCCGACATGGAAGCGATTATTATCCCTTTGTACTTATTATTATTATTGCTACTACCACTATTATTATTTCTATTATTTCTATTACTATTATTGTTATTATTATTATTATTACTCGACGTTGCGCCAAGCAGCCTGAGCAGCCTGAGCTCTTTGATTGCAATTGTCTATAGTAAAATTAGAGAGAGAAAGGGAGAAAAAGCACTTATCGCCAGCGACACTTGCGCGCTTTTAGAATCGTTTCTGAAGGCGTCGGTTTCGAATAAATTTTGTAGATTACACACGTGTAAAGAAACATGTTCCGTATCAATAGTGTTATGAAAATAATTATTTTTTTCTCTTAATTAAATTATTGATTAGATAGATTCTGATCAAATATTTTTATTTATTATTATTATATTATAAAGGAATCATTTGTCATACACATACATTGCGCGCGAAACAAATTGCAAAACAAAATCAAAAATATATTTTTTAAATTGTTAAATTTTTATATAATTATGTCATAGACATTTAATAATGTTGCAGAGATTGAATTGAAAATTAAATAAAAAATATTCAAATGTTCAAAAAAGTTATAAAAAAAGAATAATACAAGAGGACTGTGCATACCACTGTGATTACTATTGAAGTTACATTCAAGTGAATATATAGGTACAACTTGTAAATTTCTCTGCCTTGAATTCCGGATGTTTGCGCTTTGTGAATATTTAAAGAAATATCATTCTGCATACAAAAGAGAAAAGGGGAAAGAAAGATGTGATTCTTCTAAAAAAATTCTTTGCAAGACTTACAATTTGCTGCACATATACATAATACACATGATATACACATGGGATCCTGTCTATTTTTTAGATTCTACATTTAATTGCGGTAGGATTTTGACATACGCATACATTATAGAGAAAAATTTCGGAATGTTCGAAAGAATTATGACTACAGGGTGCAGTGACATAGAAATACGATGCGAAATGACTAGGAACGCTGAGAATTATTATTGATGCCCACCTATGCAGACGTGTCGTGATACTGTTCTCGGTGATTATAGGATGTCGTCGTAAAAATGAGGACGCTTGTACCTACGTTGGCAGGTCGAGAAGGAACAGTACTTTGATACGACTACAGTTATCGACGAATCGGCGAAACGATAATTCTTCTCGGCCACTTTGGGATATATCTTCCGAGTAATTTACATCGTACGCCTTTCGAGCGCCGAATTTCAAGTCGCAAGCTATAGTCAAAGCGTTCGTCCGCAGACTCTTAAATCCATCGTACTTTCGTACTTTCGATAGATCGATATCTAAGCGAGTCACGACGGCGGACTCGCACTATGCCAAAGTTTACGAAGCAGAGACGGCTGTCTCAGAGAACACGCGTCGGATAATTCTATTGTTGCTCCAGCGAACGTGCAACTTGTACGTGACCTATAAGTTATATACATTTAGTTTCACGTCAGGACTCTTGCGCCCAGCATTACTCGTTCAATTAATTGCCCGAATACTCGTGAACGGTCTGACATTCGCGCGCGTTCAATCGCGCACCAATTCGCTGATTTGTTTGCGTCGACTATTTATATGCATTGATGACGATCGACGTTTAATGTACAGTTTAATCGCTCGCAGAAATAATTATTCCTCTATCTCTTTTTGGTTTTCTCTCGTATTATCATTTAATCCCAATAGAGCATAAACATTTTCCTGGTTGTTCAATTGAAAATTGACAAAATTCTCCACAATAAACATATCGATGATTCGATCATTTTTCATATGATAAAAAATGAGAAATGATTGTGTGAAGCAACGATATAAGAAAAAAGGATGGGTCTTGTGCTCAATGATACACGCTTTTTTACATTAAATTTCAAATAATATGTCTAACAATTTTATATAATGAATAATAAATATAATTGTAATAATAGTAATTCGCGAATTGTCGACTAAAATTATTATTCAATATAACACAATCGTGAAATTCGCATCGGCTGACCCGTTCACTTGCTAGCCGCAACAGACGCCCGTTCATTAGTTTCCATACAGATCCGGCCTTGAACAAGGAAGGGGAACACCGCAAGAGGTTGAAACTAATTTTACCCTGTCTCTCTCTCTCTCGCTCTCTCTCTCTCCCTCTTCTCGGTATTCACTGGAGAGCACGTTTGTTCTACTTTGCCGCGGCGAAAAAACGATAGCGACGGCGGAGAAAATATCGCGATAGAGACTACGTAATGCACCGCGCAGGTGCATATCCGGATAGCTTGCATATTTGCGTACGGCGGGATGATAATCTCTTTTCGTTTGCGCGGATCGTCGTCGTCTTTGCCCCCGGAATTTGCCGATCTTCTTTCCGGTCGACTTCGCCCCCGGGCCGCAAAACCGAAATTGATATAACAGCGCGTTCCACGCGTTACCGTAACCGGTAACGGGTAGCGGTTACCGTTAAACGCGCGTTCGCGCCCGCGATACGCTTCATCTCGCCGACCGGCGAACGAGGCGCATACTCGAGACGAAACGAAATTCCGAGGGTGGTGGGATCAAAGGGCAAGGTATACCTTCGCATCGTTTCGTCTTTGCCTCTGTTACTCGATATTGCGCCGTGGGGCGTTCCAAGGAAATCAAGCCGCTAGGTTAATATTAAGATAAAAGAGAACGGACGCGTAATCCTTTCTTTTTAAGTAAATCTCCACATTCTGTTCTCATTTGCATTTTTCATTATAAAAATACAAATGTATGCATAATTTGATTATTCTGCTGCGTTATTACGTACCGGCTCACGTACCTACGGTGTACGCGTATCTGCGTTTTATATATCTTAATTTTATTTTTATCATTAACATTTCTACAAAACGCGGTTGAGAAAGATAAATAAAACAATAAGTTACTCGTTACAAGATAAACGCTATCTCTTTTGCAGGAAATGATCGCATTTTATAGGAATCTGTTTCCGCTTACTAAGCTGCCCTTTGTATAATACTTATTCCGCGCAGGGGTAGACTCGCCGCGTTCGGTCGTTCCTCTTTAGTCGGCATTTCGATATAATCGGCAGCGTTTTACTTTGACAGCTCGTAAAAACCAAATAATTTACGCCGTAATTGCACGGTTATTAACGCAATGAATGAATAATCGGTTTACGCGACCTCCAAGACCGGAGGATCAATTGAATCTTTGATTTGCGCGCATTCGAGAGTCGGTACTCACGGTTGAATGCCGTTGCGCCAATTTCTTACTTCGCGCGTGCAAATTGATGCGAGAACAAAACTACTTTGCAATTATGCAAAGTTTCCCGATAATTCGTAAATTTATCGGAAACAGTTCCGTGACACTGAATTAGGACGCTTTGATAATTGGCGCAAAAAAGGATAAAAAAATTATTATTCTATATAACACTTTGGTTGTCAAAAATAAAAACATATAAATAATGTCAAAGGGATTTAACCATAAAGATACTTCATATTTTGAGAAGAAAGGAGCCGACGAACAAAAAAAACGTGGAAAAAATGCATAGAAACTTTGCAAATAAAAATAATCATCAATCTAAAGAATATGTTCCATGCATTAAATATCAATCAAGGCAATCAATTATCGCAAGCAAGAAGAGATAGCGTAATCATATCGGTTTCACTTCTTCGATTAATTGACAATAGTTAATTTAATTGTTCGCATAATTTTTGTATTTGCCTACTCGATCAACGAGTAATAATAGACAACCTTCTTCCTCTACAAGTCTAGCTCTACGCAGACTTGTATTATTTAATCCGAATAAACAGGAGCAAGAAGATAGTATTGACCATCTCTTTTCGCAGTTTTTACGGATCACCCGCAGGTTGTAAGTTCGCTTCCAGAGCGACTCGGTCGTCTCGAATTCAAGCGGCGGTAACCATTGAAAAGGGATGGCAAAAGGAGTGGAAAAACGGGCTGTTAGGAACGAGACAGACACGGAGACACGCAACTCGGGGGTAGATTCCAACGATCTTTCCTGCAAGGAGTTAATATTTATCGAGGCTGTAATTTTCTCGAGACTCCCCGAGACTATCGCGGACCGCCAATGCGTACGACGACACGGCTCGATGAGCTGCAACGAAAGAAAAATAAGAAAAATAGTCGAAACATCGGGGTTAACGTACATGGTTACGTTGACGTAAATTATTATACTGATGTATCTTTTTCACAATGGCTTAATGTCCAAGATTTATTTCGCGACATAAGTCAAATCAATCATTTGCAAAAAATACATGACTCTTTCTCTCGCGTTTTTTTAATTAATTCAATTCAATATGACGGAAGAACGGTATAAACGGTGATTTAATTCACACATGTTGTTTACGAGAAGAGATATTGAAATTTAGTTTTTCACGTCGCATTGTGTCCATCGTAAACATAGTTTTAAACTTGGTAGCAATAATAACGAGAAGTATTTTTTTTCGATTTGCGATATGACGCGCGTTTCCGCGCAAAATCACACATAGTGGGTTATGATTTCTAGGTCGCCGACTGCAAAACGTACATCATTGCACAGAGAATAACGTGCTTTGGTGATACAGAACATATCTCCATATGATGCACGGGCAAACCACATATTTCTCTACCTGGCAGCTCGATCTACCAGTTTTATGTTTTCTTCCATAAAAACAGCTCGCTCCCTTTCACACGAGAGAAAGTTCGAGAAACGAGCTGTCGTCGGTAACCACAACCGATATCTACTTTTTATTGCAATATATCTTAAAAAGAAAAAATCAGTATCGTATGAAAAGAAATATCTTCATGAATGGTATCTTTATTCGCTATATTTTTCAATCTTCTTCGAAATAGTAACTGATTGACGTATTTTTAGGACGTAAAAACTAAA